GTATAAACTAGTTAGGCTTTTAAATGCCTTTCTAGTTGTGATTATGAAACTTTATTTATATTTATCTGACAACCCTGTAACATAAGAAACTGAATTCACTGAACTCAGTTTCTTACAACTCATACCAACTAGCAATTTTTTCTTCTCTGGCACAAAAAGGAAATGTATATTTTAAATTCGGGGATTCTATTCTCTACCACAGAATTACAAACAAAAGTCCCCTACTGTATCTTACCTGATTTCCTAAAGACAAAATATATTTTTTCAGGCATTTCTTAATTAGGTGTTATAACAAGAGAAAAACATAAGCACAGAATACAGTGTTTTTTAAACAATAGCAACATCTTAAATATCAGACCTTTCCTATGTTGATTGGATGTTCTAAAGCTAAACTAATTGGTTTTTCTCTATTTGTTTGTGTAACACTGACAGGAAATTCACATCCTTATCAAAGAAACATGTTTACTAAAATAACTCTGAATATCTGAAAAGCCTGCTAAGAATTTGTTGTAAGCATTTGCTAATGGGGAAACCCTTCAAAGACAAAAGAAAACAAACAAGCAAAAACTTTAGTCTTTTTTGGTCCTTATTTTCACAGAAAAACTGTACACAAAACACCTTTATTCTTCATTAAAAAAGGGAAAAAAGGAGGAAAATGGGACATGTAGAGACTACTACAAAGATGTGAAAAGGTTAACTAGCTGACATTGTGCACTGAATCAGTGGCAAAAATGGAAAGTTAATTTTCTATCCTGACTTTTCATGCCCTGGTTCTACCTCCTTAAAATAAAATGCCCTGTAAGACACAGGGCCAGATACATTATGACATTTATTAAATTATAATTATAGTGTAGGAACAAGGTCATAGAGACATGACGACTGAATTACAAGGAAAAAGTGTTGCATGTTCATTGATGTTTAAAATTTGACGGTTATACTTTTAAAAATATGTATTTCATAAAATAAACTAATTGGAAAAACATATGCAATTCAATAGGAAACGTTTTTGTCACATGAAAATGTTTGCCTAACTGCTTCCCGTTAGCCATGGACATTGTATACATTGCAACAAGAAGGTTTTAGCTGACATAAAATGTCTTTATCGACGTTTTTTCCTTTTCTAGATGGTTTGAGGGCTTTAACTGGGAAGGCTTAAGAAAAGGTACCTTGACACCTCCTATAATACCAAGCGTAAGTAGACTTTTCAGCTTATAATTGTGTGAGACACTTGATGGTGTTTATGTCAGTCAACAATGATCTGTTATTTTTAAAGTTTAATCCTATGATTAGGTTAAACAAACTCTAGGAAAAATGTCACATTAAAATAATGACATATTCTAAAATCCAAGCTTAAAAGCAAATACATTTGGAGATAGTCGCTATAATTGTGTTTTACTCTTATCTTTTTTAACTATTCATTTTAAATCAAGTTTCCCTCATTTATGAACATAAGTTAATTTTTAGTATGGGAAATGTTCAAAAGATAGAAACGCAGACAAAAATATATAGGTGAGAGGATCACTTGAGGCCAGGAGTTCAAGAATTCAAGACCAGCCAGCCTGGACAACATAGTGAGACTCTGTCTCTCCAAAGAAAAAGAAAAGAAAATATTAACCAGGTGTGCTGATGTGCACCTGTAGTCCGTGCACCTATAGTCCTAACTACTCAGGCTGGAGCAGGAGGATCACTTGAGCCCAGGAATTTGAGGTGACAGTGAGCTGTGATTGCATCACTATACTGGGTGACAGAGCGGAAAGACCTTGTCTCTAAAAAAAGAATAAAATAAAATAACACTTTTTCAAAGAGTCTTTACATGATCAGTTTTTGTTTGTTTGTTTGTTTGTTTGTTTGAGATGGAGTCTTACTCTGTCACCCAGGCTGGAGTGCAGTGGCGCGCTCTCAGCTCAATGCAACCCCCGCCTCCTGGGTTCAAGCAATTCTCCTGCCTCAGCCTCCTGAGTAGTTGGGATTACAGGCATTCAACACAATGCCCAGCTAATTTTGGTATTTTTAGTAGACAGAGTTTCACCATGTTGGTCAGGCTGGTCTTGAATTCCTGACCTCAAGTGATCCTCCCACCTCGGCCTACCAAGTGTTGGGATTACAGGCGTGAGTCACCACGCTGGGCCTATATGATTACTCTTAGACTTCTGTGGCATCTTTGTTTCCATAGCTCTAGCCAAAATTTATTATATAGAAAGATTTTTGTGATTATTTGTTTTAATCATACAATTTATTACTCACAAGGGTATAAACTCTCTGAGGATAAGAACCATGTCTATTTGTACTCATCAGTGTGACCCTCAATACCTGTAACATAGTAGATACTCAACAAAATAGTCACTAATAGGGGATAAATACAGAATGCACTTAAAAATTCCAGCTTGGAATTCCACTAAAAAAAAATCCACTAAAACAAAACTGTTCATTTTTTACAGGTTGCATCACCCACAGATACAAGCAATTTTGACAGTTTCCCTGAGGACAACGATGAACCACCACCTGATGACAACTCAGGATGGGACATAGACTTCTAATGTATTTCTCTTACCTGCTTCTGCCTTGCTGAAGACAGCTTTATCTGAGACACAGCTGCCAGCAAACCTGAGGGAAAGAGAGAAGATTAGTGCTCGGGGTCACCATGATGCCTTTGATCGATGCTGCTCCAGTAACTACAGTGGCATTAGGACTTATTGCTTAGATGACAATAGTGCTCTTTACATGTTTTCTGTTTGAACCTAAAATAGCAGTTGACATGGTGGTCCTGAAGCAAGCCTTTCATCAGTAAAGAGATGTTTTCTATTGTTGCAATGACCTTGCTTTGCTCTGATTATAATTTGAAAGACTGTAGGAAACACTTCAATCTAGTATAGGAGTCTGTACCTTCCTAGAATATTCAAGAAGATGAAAGAATAATATATTGGGTACAATAGATTACTATGGTACAGAAACTGGGCTATTCCCTTTCTTCAAGTGAAGGCTGTGGGATCTATTACTGCAGGCCGGTGTATATACCATACAAAAGAGGACCACATATCTGTTGGTCACAGAGTTCATGTCACACCAGTGCTAGAAGTTTCATGATTTTATTTCCCAGCAGTGCTGATGACAAGACTGAATGTTACCTTTTCTTTCTGACAGATTTTAAAAAATGATATGATAAAAGCACAACTGCTATAGATTCTGCTGAGACCTCTCATAGTAGGTATATATACGTTTTCACAGAGGACTGAAAAATAATGCATGATATTTGTTTTTTTTTTTTTTGATAAATTGGCATGATAGAGTGGGGGGAAAAGCAATTCACAAAATCATTTCATATTTTTTAAAATATTGTGCTTAAAGATGGTCCTGGAAGTAAATGACTAGCAGCCAATTGGTTTTACCTAACATACCCTCAAACTGAGGCTTAAAGTATTCCCTTTTATAAAAATAAACCCTTGGGGTGGGGTGGAATGGGGAGGGATTAAAATTCATCCAAAAAATAAATAAAAACTATATAGGTGCTATGTATATCTTTCATCTGTAAATGTCAGTGTCTGAACAGACAACACAAATTCAAATCATTGTATGTGTAGCCAGAAACTCAAGCATTTTCACTGAAGTTATTAAACCAAACTCCTGTCCAATTTCACTTATACAACACAGTCAGTCTAGAGTTGAGAGACAAAGGTGATCATAAACCTATTTGAACTAGCTTCTTGTCTTAGGCCTGAACCGAAAAACAGACAACAAACAAAAAACAGGAATGAAAAACAAAAATAAAAGAAGTAGAAAAGACAAAGAAAGAAAGCCCAAAGTCAAAGTTAAGATTTACGGGTTTATGAGACCAGGAACATTACTTATTTGAGGTCAGAGAACAAAACAAGAACCTGGCCAGGTGTTGATTTCCTTTTTTGTGAATTAGCTGAGTCCATAAACTTGTCTAAGTAAGAAAGCAGTACAGAGGAAAACAGGAACCTGATTTTTTAAAAAAATAAATTTTAAATAGAACAGAATTCCTACAATTCTGCAATTTCATACTACCTAAAAAAGACTAGATTTGAAAATGTCAAGCTGATTTACTTTATTCACATGGAGAAAAGAATCCACAAATTAAACTGAGTCCTTCACTGGCAGGCCAGTTGACTATTATTAGCTGTCATAAGTAACTCAGCCATTTGGAAGCATTTCCTGGACAAAATTGCATTATACCTATGAAGAAAAATATAGAAGCTTTCAAGCTGTCATTCTGTTTTGGCACTGTGTGTGAATTTGTTATATTAAATTGAGGCTTGCTTTTTTTCAGTAGAGTTTTCTTTTTAATCAATCAAATGCCTATATTTCTGGAAGAGAAAGTCCAATTAGATCATTACACCTTAACTAAGAAGGCAAGTATTATAAATTTTGCTTGAATTGTTCTTACTCAGAACTACCTTAGAATATGATATCTTATGAAAATATAATATTCTCAAAATTTTGGAGGATAAAATGAAAAGGGAATAAACTTCAAGTAAAACTTTAATCCTAAAATATTATTGTTATTCTTGTGTTTCTGGGGTTTTCCATCTCTTACAATTTCTCCAAATTGGTCTATTCCCCAAGATATCCACTGTTTTCTACAGATTTTAGAATATAAAATTAAACATATGAATTTAAAATCTAGCTATGAATGTTATTCCAAGAGTTTTATATTTTTAATTGGCTTTTTAAAAATATATGATTCCAACATTATAGTGAATGTTCAGTAAATTTTGTTGAAAGATAATGTGGTTTAGGCATGCTAAAGATTTGCTAGAATATTAAGTTCACCTTGTTATTTGGAAAGAGAATCTGCTTCTGTAACTTTTTAAAAATCTGCAAAGTCCCAGAGATTAGCACTTACTATGGATTTTGGAACTATGGTTCAAGTCTAAGACAACCAATATGAATACGTTCAATGGAGAAGGAAGAAGTAGCATTCAGCACAATGTAACTGTAGATTGTTTCTTCCACTTGTTACTGCATCTTTGTTCATTTCACCCATAGCATTGCATTTGATGTCTGAAGCAATCATCACAAAATAAAGGTAAACTACATCTTCCGAGATGTACCAACAGAAAACATTCATCTAATTTTCAACACTGAATTTCTAGGATTTAAATCTTGTCTTAATGAAGACTCTAGGGCTAAAATTCATGGTCAGTTCCATAAAGTGCATCTCACTTTATTTCTGAATTTTTCACAACCCCTCTATTTTCTTACACTAAAGAACATCTACATAAGTTAGAATAGTGCCAACTTGTTTGATTTGTTTTATGATTTTCTTGTTAATGTGTTGAGTATGGGAAATAAGGGCTTTCTGTGTGTTTTGACTCACAGGAAAACTGAAACTGCCAAGGGAAACAACATTAAAATAACTGAGATGGATTGAATACATTTGAAAAAATAATTTCTGGAAAAATGCTATACATGATTTTTATGTTTATATCTTCTTTCTTATTAATATATGAATCAGATCCATATGGCATTCAAAATAAATTTATTCTGATTATATTCTTTACAAGTCATAATTTTTACCTAAAGTTGTGGAATATGCATGTGAATTACACATGTGTAGTAATAAACTCAACTATTGAATTTTTCCTGTTTCATTTATAAATTACTGAACTGATGGTAAACAAATTTAATGAAATCAGCTACCATATTGGAAATAAAGATATTAGAACTGATTTCATACAATAGAGGTGATCTGTGCATTATCCATAACAACTTTTCCTTTCACAATAGGACCACAGACAAATATTTATGTAAATAGATATTTTTGTGTGATATTTTGTGGTACATATAACTTTTTTTAGTGTTTCACAGCATTATTATTTCATTTTATTTGTATTGAATAATGTTTTTAGGTCCAAGTAGACTTGAATTAATGTCATAATTGTCAGTATTATTGAAAATTATGTCAACTGTACTGTTATTCATCTGTCCCATAGTTTAGAACATGACCTGGCTATCTGGCATTGTTGCAAGTGCCTTAAATTCATGGCATCCTATTGAAAAAACAAATTTGGTGTTATGCTGCATGACAAAGACAAACACACCTCAAAATGTTGTCCTTTCTTAGCTTGCTGCGTTTTACAGTTCTTTCTGCTAACAATTTATAAGCCTTTATTATATAATATTGATGAATTACAGAAATGATGAAGTTGTTCTCTTATTTCTGTTAAATGTACCAGAGCTGTGTATCTGTTAATGAGATACAGCGTCATTTCTGTGAAATGTATAAATGTATGTGCAGGTCAAATTAATATATGACATTCTATCAGTCTGTATACAGGTATTCCTGTTTTGCTAAGCTGTGCAGATTCTGTAAAAATAAATTAGTGCAGTCAAGTTCTAACATGTCTCATTTTATAGACTCCATTGACAATGGTCCAACCCAAAAGAAAAAAGGAAATGACTGCTAACCACACCTCGTTATGATACCAATGATGAAAAAGTCACTTGGTGCACCTCTCAACAAAACAGGATGCTTTCTCCGAGTTCTTGTATATGCAAATCATTTATGAGGCAAGTTTTCAACAGACCTAGAAAGCAAAACATTGAAAGCGTGTTGTTAGCCCTCCTCTCTGCCCCTGCATCAACAGACAGAGCTCTGGGACCTTGGCAATGACTCAGAGGTTGGGGCTTTCTGAGTAAAGGGACATTTCTTTAAGCATCATCTATCAAATTTATTTCAATGTATGATGTTTTTACAACTGGTCAGTTCTTTTGTATTCTTACAGCTATGGTTATTTGATTGTCCTCTTACAATTTGTTCTACATGAAAGAGTTCTTTGTTAGTCAGAATGCAACAAACTGTCATCAAATGGTCATTGACCACTTGCACTCTTTTGATGTAGATTAAAAACTTTTTCATAAACTTAACCTGCTTTGATTTGCTCTGTATTTTTCCTGCAGCTGTAATTGCTGAGTGCCTGTTGTATACTTTATAGAGTTGAAATAAAAAAAATAATTACTTTTGAACTTAGTTGATGTTTAATTCCAGATAAGGTTCCAAGAATAGAATTGGTATATCATCCTAGATGAAATACCAGGTAGTGCTGTTATAGAATGTCACTATAACAAAATATGAAATACCTATAATCCAAGCATTCTTCATGAAATAATATATTATATTGTAATCTAATATAAAACTAATGCAACAAATTGGTTTTAAAGAATTCATAGCAATAATGTTGGCCCATCCAGTGTGAAAAGCAAAGTGAATACAGATATTTACACAAACTCATAAATTAGCAGATTTCTGAGCACGACCACCACACAGTCCTTTTTTGGGCTATCCCTAGTCAAACTCTGTACTAGGCAAAACAATCAAAGGGATAATTCCTGTATATTACTACATCCTAGGAGGAAATGATTTCATATGAAGAGCAACTTCATGAGTCTTTGTCCAAGGATAGTTCACCTGATTCCTTGGCTTCACCATATGCACAAATAAGAAAAATTTGGGGAACAATATGATTACAATGAATTCAACTCTCCAAAGCCTGTTAAATATATTCTTTCTACATCCTTTTGTTCTTCTCTGCAGTAAATGATGCACACATTAAAACTGCAGCATGAAGATCCTCTCAATTACATTGTTTTTGTCTTTTTGATCTCACATTGCCAGTGACAGTGAGTTGAAAACCCTTGTTTGATGTAAACTAGAAATTCAGTCCAGTGAACTTTTCCAGATAAAGCCAATAAAACCACTTGAAAAAATACTATGTCACAATTGTACATCCAGTAATTCATTTCTTCTGCAAACAGAACTGTAATATAAGCTTTTAACATCCATCCTTTAAGTTATGTGATTCTTCATACCCTTAATCTAAGAATGTTCTTCTTGATTGTGAAAGTTCTTTTTATATTAATCACACAGTTTTGGGAGGAGCATGCAGATCAACACAATCATTAGAAAGATGGGGAGGAGGAGGCGTCAGTGATGGTGATGATGTTGCATCTACATCACTCACATCTTGTGCATATTTCAATGGGAATAAATCAGTGTGCAATTTTTCAAGAATGACAATAGGAATCAATTCTAAATTTGAGATAAATGGATTGATTGTGTGATCACCCAAATGATACCCAAGTGCAAATATTACAATGTTACACCTGCAGACCTACCTTGAGATTCTTAGTTATAGCCCTGTGTGTCAAGCTCATAATACGGGCCACCACATTAATGTTTCTTTTGTGTATGTGGGTGGTGTTTGAGACAGGGCCTCACTCTGTCACCCAGGCTGGAGTGCAATGGCACAATCTCAGCTAACTGCAGCCTTGACTTCCTGGGTTCAAGGGACTCTCCTGCCTTGGCCTACCAAGTATCTAGGACTACAGGTGCATATCACCATGCCCAGTTAATTTCACACTTTTATTAGAGAGTCATATTGAGAGTTTTCCTCTGTGTCCCTAGACTTCTCCTTTCTAACTCAAAAAGTCCTATAAATTGATAAAACAGTAATATTTATCTCTGGCAGCTGATTTTTATCCAAAGTAAGTCTATGGAGCAAAAGACAAATCTTATCAATCTACATGTCCACTAACAAAGCCAAACAGGTTAAGCCTCAAATTTGTGCAAAAATAATAATAATTATTATTATTATAGAAAGAAAAAGAAAAAGGAAAACAAGGCATCCCTAACAACCCAAAAGTCTGGCCACAGATTTTATAAAAATTCATGGACAAGCTCTAGGCATAGTATCTAAGCCAGTGTTTTTCAAACATTGATGTCATAAGATGTATCTGGTAAATAACATAAAAACACAGGTTTCTAGGATAATCCAAAATTATTTTGTGGTATAACCCAGGAATCTGAATTTTTAACCAACCCCTTAGTGTACTTTGATGAGAATATACATCTCTGAGATAGAAGCAGGAGAAAAGGATCCATGGAGAAACATTTCAGGAATGATGGGGTAAATGAGGTAAACAGAAAAAAAAGTCTATAAAGAATCATGGACATCCAAAGCCTATAAATGTTCTCAGAAATGTTAAATGGCATTTATATTCCACCCATAGAAGTGTCCTTTCAATTAACATATTAAAATGCCCTATTAATGATAAGCTACTTTTCTGTTAAGGAATAGACCTATGTCTTGATTTGCAAAGCTAAAAATAAATAGGTGTACCCACCTCTAGTATCCGGTACATCAGGACAGGATACTAGGAGTTAATTTGCAGGAGGACTCTTAGTCCTCTGAGGAGAAATGATATTGGTGACCTGAGGTTCTGGCTCAGCTGGATTTTGGCCACAGTTCATCAATGTCTGATTTCCCTCCCTGGGGGACTTTTCTGTGCCATGTAAGTCAGGCTGGGGTTTTTGACTTGCTTTGGCCATTGAAAAGTGAGCCTTGTCACTGCAAGCAGAAGCTTTAAGAGCCAGTTCTTGCTTCGTTACATTCTCCTTTCCCTGTGATGTTGTGATCAGCATTTCCTCAACAGTGTCTGCCCTGTCAGCTTCAGAAGCAGAGTAAGGACAGTGATGAGGAGGAGTGGAGCCCCTCACCAACTCCCAAAGGCTTTACAGTGGAATATATTATTGTTTTGAACCACTAAGATTTCGGCTTTGTCTATTTCAATAGGATTTTGCCCATTCTGACTGATACAACTGTCACATACAAAAGAAAGATGAGGCCTGCCCTGGCATCTGCAAGGTGATTTACCACTGTAGAAAATAACAGGCAGAAAATAACAGAATAAATCTTTAGACCCTGAGTCACAGGCAGTAAAAACTGCAGTGAAGGCTTGAATTCACCCAAATGCCCAATCTTCTGACAGAAACTACCTCAAACCTGACATAGCAAAGATACATTTTAAGGAGTAATGGAAGGAAACATTTTAAGAGCCCAGGCCATCTAAGATTGGGGCAATGATTTACCTGGGCAATTTGCATGAAGACCTTCAAATTCAGAAGAACTGGTACTAAAGCAAGAGAAGCAAAGAGGCCAGTAGAAATTATGTTAGACATGGAATCGGAGGATTTGTAATTCCTAGGAAGAACATGATTCTTCAAGGTTCCTGGAGAGAGGTGAGAGTGGAAAGATTTTACTATAAAAGAAAGTTGGAATAGGAGCAAGATACCACCTTAACTATAATTCTAAATGTCTTCTGTGTAACCCTTTGCTAACTACGTGGGCCACAAATTACTACGTATGTTGAAGTGAATTACTTAGGGCCTTGGTTTCCTGACCCATAGGAAGATTATTAGACTTATTTTTGATAATAAAACTCTATGCTTTTAAGTTCCTTCACTTACAACCTCCCTCCAGAGTTTGGCAAACTATGATACACCAGCCAAATTTGCCTTACAGTCTGTTTTTGTAAATAAAGTTTTATTGGAACAAACATATTGTCTAAAGTAGCTTTCATGTTACAACAACACTTGAGTAGTAAGCTAGAGGCTGCGTGGCAGGCAAAGCCTAAAATATTTACTATCTGGCCCTTTCCAGAAAAAGGTTGGCTTGCAATGAGCTGACGATTTTCAAGTTCACTTCTCCATAGAGCTTCAGGACATTGAAGTAATGTCTCAAAGTCTACCAAGATGGAATAGGGAGAGGAGTACCTGGATTAAGAAAAGGGGACATGCAGGGAGTAGGTTCCATAGGCTCCAGATTTCTAATTCTGATTCAGTCAGAAAGGTTACAATATTATTTGTTTTACATATCAGTTTAACATATTCTGAGAGCTGCTTGGATAGCTAAGCTGGAAAGACGTGGGGGTGCTTATCCCTGCGTGGAAACGCTTGCCAATGCTTTCCCATTTGGACCCAGACTCCAGATCGGGAGTAGTCTTATAGCTGAATCAGCTACCAAGAGAAGTTCTAAAGCAAGAAGAGAAAAGCACTTCAATTTGGGACATTTATTTGCAGCTGGAAATGGGGAATGGGCTATCAGACCAGACTTCTATCCTGTCCAACCTGCCTTCATTTCAGTCCTTCCACATTGTTATTCTGGGTTTGGACTGTGCTGGAAAGACAACTGTCTTACACAGGCTGCAGTTCAATGAATTTGTAAATACCGTACCTACCAAAGGATTTAACACTGAGAAAATTAAGGTAACCTTGGGAAATTCTGAAACAGTCACGTTTCACTTCTGGGATGTAGGTGGTCAGGAGAAGTTAAGGCCACTGTGGAAGTCATATACCAGATGCACAGATGGCATTGTATTTGTTGTGGACTCTGTTGATGTCAAAAGGATGGAAGAAGCCAAAACTGAACTTCACAAAATAACTAGGATATCAGAAAATCAAGGAGTCCCTGTACTTATAGTTGCTAACAAACAAGACTTGAGGAACTCATTGTCTCTTTCAGAAATTGAGAAATTGTTAGCAATGGGTGAACTGAGCTCATCAACTCCTTGGCATTTGCAGCCTACCTGTGCAATCATAGGAGATGGCCTAAAGGAAGGACTTGAGAAACTACATGATATGATCATTAAAAGAAGAAAAATGTTGCGGCAACAGAAAAAGAAAAGATGGATATCAATACCTATTATATCTGTGTGGAGTAGGTTTTCTCTGGTCTGATTTTGACAAATAGAAGAGTGTCTACAACCTGGTTTGCCTGTCTGCCCTCGTGGATGCTATTAAAGCTTTGTTTTGTTGAACAATCAGATGCCCAACTCTGTTGCCTTGTGGAAGATGAGTAAATGCAGTGCTTCTTAAAGTGGTCTCTTCTCCCTACCCCACAAATCTTTTGGTACTAGCATTTGGGGAAGCCAAGCAAGGATAGGAAATTGACCAGAACACACTTGTGGAAATTTGGCCTGAAGTTAGTGAAATAAAACTTTCAAGAGTGAAAAAAAACAAAAAAAAACAAAAACATATTCTAATGTTAAACCACCCATATGTATTTATGCATATATATGTGTACCTATTGTATATATGTATACATGTACATATATGTATATACACACATATGTATACACGTGTACATGTACACATATGTACACGTGTATACATATACATATATACACGTGCATATATACACATATATGTACATGCATGTATATACGCATATATGTACGCACATGTATAAACGCATACATGTATGCACCTGTATATGCACATGTATGTATACACATATATACACATATGTATACACATGTATATATGCATGTATGTATGCACATGTATATGCGCATGTATATATGCATATACACATGCATATATAGAAATATAATTTAATATGTATTTAATATTTCATTGGCATATTTGCCACTCTATGCAGTACTATCAAACTGGCTCAATTAACATGGTTTATAAATATTATTTATATCTTATGGGGTACCCCCCCACCCTCCTTCCATCCTCTTACCTTTTTGTTTTTAAAATTGTTTTGACACATTAGAGTCCTTTTATTCTATATAAATATTAAAACCATATGGTCACATTTCATGAAAATACCTTTTAGGATTTTGATTAGAATTATTTTTAGTTCATAGATTAATGGGAGAAATGACAACCTTACAACTTTTTCCACTCGTGAGCATTATTTACAGTTTATAGAATGTCTTCAAAAGCATTTTCAATACAATTCATTTACATATTTGGTTGCTATTAAAATAACATCTTTTAAAATATTATACTCTTGAATATTTTAATTCTTTGTTGGCACAGAGAAATTTAACTTTTTTTTTTTTTTTTTTTCTGAATGGAGTCTCACTCTATTGCCCAGACTGCAGTGCAGTAGTGCTATCTCGCCTCACTGCAACCTCCGTCTCCTGGGTTCAAGCCTCTCCTTCCTCAGCCTCCCGAGTAGCTGAGACTTACAGGTGCACACAACCATGCCCTGCAAATTTTTGTATTTTTAGTAGAGACAGGGTTTCACCATGTTGGCCAGGCTAGTCTTGAACTCCTGAGCTCAAGTGATCCATTCACCTCAGCCTCCCGAAGAGCTGGAATTGCAGGCGTGAGCTACTGTGCCCAGCCAATTTCTTGTATAGTGCTTTTATGTCCACCATCCTTGCTGAAATTTTACTGATTAATATCTATATCTATTTCTTAGGTTATTTCTAATGATAATATTGTCATCTCTGAATAATAAAATGTTGTATTTAACTCCTTATAGTTCCAATCAGTAATTTTTTTATCGAAGTAATGGACTGGCTAGGACTCCAAGTAAATGTATAATAATAAAATTACAGTCGGCCCCCTTGCTTCTTTTCTGATTTTAAATTTCCTCATTAGATGTTTGATACAGGTTTTATATGCATACACATGATCATATTAAGAGAGTTCTTACTTGGTCAATCTTTTTAAAAAATCAAAATTCTGTTTCAACATACATTAAGAAGGGCACGTTACTTTCTTAATCCTTTTATTGTGGTCGACTTGGCAGAAGATGTATAACATATCTAATGTTAAACCACCCATGATTCCCTGGCATGAATTCAACTTTGTCATTACATGCATTTCAAATATATTGGTGTTTTTGATTTGCCAATGTTATATTTTATTTATTTATGTATTTTAGAGACAGAGTCTCTCTGTCACGCAGGCTGGAGTGCACTGGCACAATCCTAGCTTACTGCAACCTCAAACTCCTGGGCTCAAGTGATCCTCAAGGCCACCTCAGCCATTTGAGTAGCTGGGACTATAGACACACATCACACACAGCTAGTTTGTTTATTTTTTATAGAGATTGGGTCTTGCTATATTTTACAGTCTGGTCTCAAACTAATGGCTTCAAGTGATCCTCCTACCTTGGCCACCAATATGATATTTTAGACTTTTCTATGTACGATCTCAAGACAGTAGCCTAAAATTCCCCTTTCCTGAATTATCCTCATCTGTTTGTGTATAAAGGTTATACTAACCTATTTAGTTAGGTTAGTCTTCTCATCCAGAAAACAGAAATATATGGATCTATACTCCACTTCATTACTAGGAACTGTAAATTTAAAAATTAAAGTAAACTATTTTTATTCATCAGATTTGTAAATTAAAGTTTAAAAGTAGCAAAATGTTGGTTAGAATGTAGAGTAATGTAAAATTTTCATATACTGCTGGTACAAATGGGAATTTTTACAAATTGGAAGAATCATTTCCCAATATTTAACAAACTTGAAAATGTCTGTATCTTATAACTGAACGCTTCTATTCATTGGTGTATTTCCTAGAAAAAAATTCATACACATTCACTAGGAGAGATATATACATATATCAGCATATCTTCAGAAGAATTTTGAAATAGTAAAAAATTTAGAAGTCAAACTATTCATCACGTGGATAACAGACCATTAAATCTGGTGTATTCAAACAATAGAATATTATATGAAAGCGAATATAGATGTGTTAGTTAAATTTAACACAGATAAATTTCAGAAACAATGCTAAATGAAAAAATTGCATAATACAGTGTGACAACATTTATATAATTTTTTAAGTGAGAAACTTTTATTTTGGGGGGAAATGGCAGATTCAGTTATTTGAATCAACTCTCTTACCAAAAATTTAAAATGTTACTACAAAAACCCTAGAAGAAACCCTAGGCAATACCATTCAGGACATAGGCATGGGCAAGGACTTCATGTCTAAAACACCAAAAGCAATGGCAACAAAACCCAAAATTGACAAATGGGATCTAATTAAACTAAAGAGCTTCTGCACAGCAAAAGAAACTACCATCAGAGTGAACAGGCAACCTACAGAATGGGAGAAAATTTTTGCAATCTACTCATCTGACAAAGGGCTAATATCCAGAACCTACAAAGAACTCAAATTTACAAGAAAAAACAACCCCATCAAAAAGTGGGCAAAGGATATGAACAGATACTTCTCAAAAGAAGACATTCATACAGCCAACAGACACATGAAAAAATGCTCATCATCACTAGCCATCTGAGAAATGCAAATCAAAACCACAATGAAATACCATCTCACACCAGTTAGAATGGCAATCATTAACAAGTCAGGAAACAACAAGTGCTGGAGAGGATGTGGAGGAATAGGAACACTTTTACACTGTTGGTGGGACTGTAAACTGGTTCAACCATTGTGGAAGATTGTGTGGCAATTCCTCAAGGATCTAGAACTAGAAATACCATTTGAGCCAGCCAATCCATTACTGGGTATATACCCAAAGGATTATAAATCATGCTGCTATAAAGACACATGCACACATATGTTTATTGCGGCACTATTCACAATAGCAAAGACTTGGAACCAACCCAAATGTCCATCAAAGACAGACTAAATTAAGAAAATGTGGCACATATATACCATGGAATACTATGCAGCCACAAAAAAGGATGAGTTCATGTCCTTTGTAGGGACATGGATGCAGCTGGAAACCATTATTCTCAGCAAACTATCGCAAGAACAGAAAACCAAACACCACATGTTCTCACTCATAGGTGGGAACTGAACAATGAGAACACTTGGACACAGGAAGGGGAACATACTGGGGCCTGTTGTAGGGTGGGAGGAGGGGGGAAGGATAGCATTAGGAGATTATACCTAATGTAAATGACAAGTTAATGGGTGCAGCACACCAACATGGCACATATATACATATGTAACAAACCTGCATGTTGTGCACATGTGCCCTAGAACTTAAAGTATAATAAAAAAAAAAACTTAGTAAAAAAAATAAATAAATAAAAATAAAATGCTACTACATATGTATCTATGTGGGTGTGTGTGTTTGTGTGTGTGTGTATATGTTACATTCCTCTCTCTCCCTTAGAAATCTCAAAAAGTTGGCAACATACTAAGAAAAAGCCAAGTCAAAATCTAAGGGAACGTGGGAACCATGAAAGTGGCCACTAAAACTTTATTTACTCTGAGAATATTTCTCGAGTCTGTTGAAGTTGAGCTTTGGTTTAATAGCCATCTGGGACAAGGGATAGATATAAAAGTCAATATTCAAGGACTACAATTTTAAAAAATTAACTGACATAAACTTACAATTAAAATATATTAAAATAATAGTAAATGTTACAAAAATTATACAAAGTATATAAATACTCAAAATATATACTCAAAACTTATTACTACCTAAATATCGTACTTCATCGTACTATTGCATATGCTCTTGAAATTATTTATGTCAGTTATATCTGTGTGGGGCTCAGTGCAGTGTCTCATACCTGTAATCCCAGTGTTTTGGGAGGCTGAGGCTGGAGGATCACTTGAGGCCAGGAGTTCAAGGCCAGCCTAGACAATATAGTGAGATCCTGTTTCTATTTAAAAAATCATTTTTAATTATCTGGGCCTGGTGGCATGCATCTGAAGTTCTAGCTATGCTTGTAATCCCAGTGCTTTGTGAGGCTGGGGCAGTTGGATCACTTGAGTTCAGGGATTTGAGTTTGAAGTAAGCTATGACTGTACCACTACACTGCAGCATGGGTGACAGAGCAAGACTCTGTCTCGGGGAAAAAAAAGAAATCGTATCTATATGGTGAATGTACTGTATAATTATGAGCACATCTTCCCATCTCCATGGTCAGTGGAGTCACAGTTTTCACTTGAAATTGTCTTTGATGATTAATTTTATATGTTAACTTGGGTATCAGTGATACCCACATTGCTGGTAAAACAGTATTCCTGGGTGTGTCTCAAAGGATGTTTCCAGAAAACATTTGCACTTTAATTATTAGATTGAGTAAAGAAGGTCTGTCCTCTCCAATGCGAGCAGGCATCATCCAGTCCACTGGGGGCCTGAACAAAAAGGAGAAAGAAGGGAAAAATCTCTCTCTTCCTGATCAGGGACTCCATCTTCTCCCACCCTTGTACATCAGAGCTCTCGGACCTGAAGAGTTCTTAATAGATTTTTTGTTGTTGTTTTGGTTTTGTTTTGTTTTGTTTTGTTTTTAATTGAGATGGAGTTTGATTCTTGTTGTCCAGGCTGGAGTGCAATGGTGTGTGGTCTCGGCTCACTGCAACCTCCACCTCCCAAGTTCAAACAATTCTCCTGCCCTAGCCTCCTAAGTAGCGAGGATTACAGGCATGAGCCACCACACCCAGCTAATTTTTTTGTATTTTTAGTAGAGATGGGGTTTGACCGTGTTGGCCAGGCTGGTCTTGAACTCCTGACCTCAGGTGATCCACCCACCTCAGCCTCCCAAAGTGCCGGGATTACAGGCGTTAGCCACCACACCTGGCCTGGATTTTTTCTTTTTTTTTAAGAGATTGGATCTCACTCTCTCACTCAGTCTGGAGTACAGTGGTGCAAACATGGCTCACTGCAGCCTTCACCTCCTGGGCTCAAGTAATCCTCTCCCCTCAGCCTCCCAAGTTGCTGAGACTACAGGTGTGTGCCATCACATCTGACTAATTTTTTATTTTTAGTAGAGATGAGGTCTCACTATGTTGCCCAGGCTGGTTTTGAACTCCTGGGCCTATGCAATCCTCCTGATTCAACCTCCCAAAGTGTGATTATCGGCATGAGCCACCATGCCTGGCCTCAGTAGATTTTTTTTTTAAGGAAAAGCAAAGCACCTTTAATTGACTAATATTTGCCTTTCAATGCCTACAGAAACAGGAAAAAAATCTGTTTCTCCCCTACTCCTTACATACTTGTAAGAAAGTTCCACTTATTTATTTACTTACTTATTTTTCTAATCTCAGCTGTGAATTAAACCCTAGCAAAGTAATTTTTCAGACAAGTTTAGGACTTTGCCTGCAAATCAGGAACTCTAAATACAAAGAAAACATGCATTTTAAACCTTTAGACTTCACGGGTCTAGCCAGAGTTCCCTTCTAAAATTCTTAGTGTAAATGATACTAGTAAATGGTATTAGCAAGAAGGTGTAGGAGAATATGGCTCTAGTAGAAAGCTAATTCACTACTCTCTGCCTCAATGCTTCCTCAGCTTCTAAGTAAGCTTGTAGCTCTGCTGAATTCACAAAGCTGTTGGTATTTGCAAAATGTTTTTAATTTCTTTTTTAAACTTAGAGCTTACTTTAAAGAATATGATTCTTGTGGTAAACAGAATCAGCTGGATTGCAGTAATATTATGAGAAGATGGAGATACTGATGGAGAAAATAGCACAATCAGGAAATGTAGACAAGTATAATGAATATACTAATGACACTTTGAGAGGTTTTGGTTGAGGTCGATTTGCTTCTTAAAGTCATTATTATAAATATATTTTAGAATATAATCCTAAAATAATAGTACACAATTTTTTACTTAGCATCTAACTGATAGCTACAAATTGAGTACACAATTCATATTGAACTGAACGTTTAGAGATGGCATTTCTTACACATCTTCCATGATCTTTTCTTCTTTAAAAGAAATATTTTTAAAAAATTGAACTTTTTTTTTCTGCCAGAACTCTTCAAAAAACAGATAGAAGAACCAAATTGGGTCTAGTTTAAAATATTGACTATCAATAAAATGCATGACTGCCATTAACATATATATTAACAGCTACATATACTATGTTAGGACTTGCACTTCCAATATGCTGTTTTATTAATTTTCCTGCTGCTCCTTTTCTCCGTGTACATCATGTTGACTCAAACGAAATGAAGCTATTAAATAGTACATTATAACTATTGCTTTGCATAAACCTATTGAATGTTTTTATCTTCCTTTTGAAAATGTAAACCTGAGATTATTAATATTTTTATTATCCAAATAAATTTAAAAAGAATATTCTGTTATATTTCCATTCTCCCTGAATAGTTCTATTGTCTGAACTTCCTTAACATTTGTTTGGCCTGGCATTTCCCTATAACATTATATATTAACATAGTAATCTGGAGACCCAGACGTTTTTATCCAGCAATGCAATATAGGGCCTTTCAACTTCAACCAAACTAAAACATTTAACGAGAACCTAAGTCTCGCACCCCAGCTCCTTTTTTTTTTTTTTTTTTTTTAAGAATATGGTGGTGACAATACCAGACCTTACCATTTTAATTCTACCACGTGTAGATTTAATTTTTAACAAAACATTATGTAGAATATTAAGAAGGACAAAACAAAAACATATTTGGCTTTAGAGAGTTTGCAGCATAGGCAGTTGTGAAAATATACAAGTAATTGGACATAGAAAATAAATATAGCTACAGGATTAATACATTCTTTTCTCTTCCCTACTAAGAACTTCTACGGAAATTCCACCAGGAGGCAGCAGAAGAGCGGGTTTCTCCCACCTCCCCCCCCGGACGCCGGAGACACGGCGGAGCCTTATGTCCCTCAGAGCTTTAATCTTGCCCTCAGTCGCCTTTCCCCTCACCCGCCTCTAATTAAGTCAGAAAGGCCCTGTATTTATTTGCCCATGAACTGACACAGCAAACCAACAGCAGCCATTGTAGTGTGAATGGATTTGCGACCAGGCAAGGGGCTTCAGCCGGGATTACCCGCCCCGCAGCCGGATGAATGTGCTGAGCACAAAGTCTGCTCAAAGCCGAGCAAACGGACTATTTGTGAAAATGCCATCCTGGCTCAAGTCTGATTAAGACCGGGGGTCCCCAGGCCGTTTGATCTTCGCTCATCAAAGAGAGTCTTTAAACAAGCTTCATTTTACACTACTGTATGCTAGCGACGGGTTGTGACACCCAAGTGCAGCCACCGTGAGCAGCCAGCACTGGGAGCGCGTGAACAATGGAGATTCGCCGCGCCGCCTGGTGCAGGGCGCAGGCCCTGAGCGCTGGGAAACGCGCCGGCGCTGGAGGCAGGGCCTTTGCGGAAAGACTCAAGTTTGGGAGCCCATAGGTCTGCCCGAGAGGTATCCCGACGTGCCTCCTGCCAAGGACTCCTAGACTTCTCTGAAAATGATTTAATTTTTTTAACTTAAGGGTGATAAAGAATCCTTACACGAGTTAATTATACATCCCTCCTCCTCTTCCGCGCCAAAAGTTAATAGTTACATTTAATAGCCTACATCTTCCACTCTTTAGTATTTCTAAGACTGGGTGTCAAGACAAGTGTTTTTAAGGTCCTACTTTCTACTTTTCACCTTAAGGGGCTTTACAATTCACTAGTTGCAGAATTAGTGATAGCCGAAAACATCAGCTTTAAATAATACAACCTATTTTGTGATGGGAAAACAACCTCTATCTACACACACACACACACACACACACACACACACACACACATTTTTTAGAAAGTCGCTTGGTTCAAGTAATTCATGTTATTTCCAGGCACTTAATACTTACATGCCGGTCTCTTCAAAATCGACATGCCTTCCTGGCTAATACGGTGAAACCCTGTCTCTACTAAAAAATACAAAAAAACTAGCCGGGCGAGGCGGCGGGCGCCTGTAGTCCCAGCTACTCGGGAGGCTGAGGCAGGAGAATGGCGTAAACCCGGGGGGCGGAGCTTGCAGTGAGCTGAGATCCGGCCACTGCACTCCAGCCCGGGCGACAGAGCCAGACTCCGTCTCAAAAAAAAAAAAAAAAAAAAATCGACATGCTTAGTATCGATGTCAATGATTATTACTTGATCTTCAGGCTGCATAAAAGAACAGACTCCTTGCAGGATGTTCTTATTTAACCTGAGCAAAAGAAAAAGCCTTCTCTTGGCAGTGCTGAAAGAAAAAGAAAAGAAAGAGAGAGAGGAAGAGAAAGAGACTTTTGTAGTGAAAAGGAACCTCTCCATCTCCCCTTCATCCCATTTTATAAAGAAAAGCCAGCACCACACCAAGAGTTAAGTGGCTTTCCCATATTTAGGAGCCAGTTTATGGCTGGCACCCTATACAGAGTACCATCCCCAGCCTTCTGACTCCTTGGCACGATGCCTTTCTTGGCCATACTCTGGGAGAAGAGCTGTCTTATAAAGGAGGTAATAATAGGAACTCAATGACGTGGAAGAAAACTGTTTTTCTCTAGATGCGGAGACTGTTTCATGGGATCCTACATCCTACTTTCTGCAGACACTGGCCTATCCTTAGGGTTGGAGATGTTAAATCATTTAGGGGACTCAAAGAGGACATTGCACTCCCTATACCCACCACCACAGACCTTTCTGAGTATCAGGACCTCAGAAAAGATGCAGGCAGATATCTATGTGGTTTAGGCACTATCTTCACTGTGTTTTAGTCAAATGTTTCTGGGTTCCGGGCTCTACTCTCAGATTAACTTTCAATGTCCTGCTCTAGTAAAACACATCTTCTGAGCTTGGTTAGAAAGCTACAACGGAGCCTGATTTATCTGGGCTGACCATCTCCACTGCTCAAATAAACATAATCACGGTCAAATCTTGCCTTCTGTTTGTACTGAGGAGTGCAGAAAATCCAGCTCTCAGGGGAGTCATAACATGGACCAGGTCTAAAAGTTCTTTTAACATCACGAAGAACATTAAGACTAAACTGTTGTAAAAGTCAATGAGAAAGTCGTATCACTTTTTTTACAAAACATCAGGGATGAGGAATGCCTACTATATTCAAGATTGACACTAACAAAAATGTTGGCAACACACACCGTAAGGAATGATATTTATGCAGCATTTTCCTAGCAAAGTAAAAATGTATGGCAACAAATCTGCTTCTTTTGATTTAATCAAGAGAAAGAAGGAAAGAAGTAAGGTAGGAAAGGAGGGAGAGAGAAAAGAAAAGAGGAAAGGAGGGAATTAAAAATACAGCAGTAGACTGGGCGTCGTGGCTCATGCCTGTAATCCCAGCAGTTTGGGAGGCCAAGGTGGGAGGATCACTTGAGCCCAAGAGTTTGAGACCGGCTCTGCCTGGCAACATAGTGAAACCCTGTTTCTACAAAAAATTTAAAAATTAGCCAGGTGTGGTGGCATGAAGCTGTAGTCCCAGCTACTGGGGGGTGAGGTGGGAGAACCGCTTGAGCCTGGGAGGTCAAGGCTGCAGTTAGCCATGATTGCACCACTACACTCCAGCCTGAGCGACAGAATGAGACCCTGTCTCAAAAAATATATAAAAATGTATTAAATTTTTTTTAAAAAATCAACAGTCACAAATAACAGAGATGGAAAAATAGTCGGTGAATAGCATGGTGTGTTTTGGAGTATATTTGTCTGTCTCCTTCATGGATGAAAACGTTGAGAAATATTCTATGTGTGGCATCCAGCACTTAAAATATAAAGAAGACATGTATTATTATGCTGTTTCTGAGTTATGAGATTCAATTCCACACTGATAAGCGTATTTCACCTATTTAAAAATATAATTCAAAATATTAAACTTGTTACATTAATTATGATCATATTTATACCAGATTGAATAGGAGGCAGGGTTCCCTACAGGACTAAATAAACTCAGTTTAATAAACTAAATTCACCTACCCTGGCTCCCACCTCCTCTGTCACCCAGCTGTAAGAGAGACTCACACAATTACCAGAACCTTCTCTCCTTCCTGAGACGTGTTGGGCACAGTTCCTGCACCTTTTTATTGCTTCTCCATGACCTAGTATCTGCCAAAATATAATCGATGGTGGAAAAATTTTTACCCCCAGCCCCATATAAATATATTGTATTTCCCCAACTACTCACAGACTGAAAGCTTTCTGAGGACAAGAAGCCTGCCTTTCATATTGTGAGATATGCTCCCAATAATGGGTACACGCCGAATATTAACTGGCTGCTGATGGAACAATGAGTTTTACTGTACCTCTTTATCTACCTTGCACTCTTGTTGCCAGTGAGCAAACCACATCCTGGAAAGGATTTTCAAATGGAGAAAAAGCACTGAAAAAGTAAATTTCCTCATTTGGAACAAAGGTATGATTTACTATGTACTTAGCCCTCTCTGAGGACCACCCATGTAATTTCTCCACTGAATAATTTGTGAGGTTACCTCTCCTCTGCCCACTAAATGATTTGAAGGTAGATTATATGAGAACTCATCTTTTATCACACAATATCATGTATAATGCCTAGCACAAAGTAGGAACTCAGGTATTGACCAAATCATTATTCATTTTAGACTCATGACAACTTCAGGAGCAACGTGAAAGATGAGGAAGAAGGTAGAAGCTAGCCCGCTCTTGAACTTCTATGCTTGGTTTAGCTCTCCTGACTCAATATCACAGATTCTGTCCAGACTCAGTGAATATTGAAACATAATAGACATATGATTTGTTTTCAGAGATCAAGGTTGAATTTATGCAACAAGCCTCTTTGTTATAACAGAATTTTCCCTTTGTTGATTAAATTGTTCCACTTTCTTCTCTTTTGCCCCAGTCAATGGATTTTTTGTGTGTGAAACCAAGCTTTTAATGAACCAAGTTCATTAAATGTATTAATCATATACTATCTCTTCAGAAAAAAAGGCAAGAGATTGATCTTTAATGTGGCATAAATGTATTTCTAGATTCTAAATATTTAAACAGGGTAATAGCACTAAAAAGAAACATTTTCAACCTTCTGATTGGCAGGCGGATTTTTCTCCACATTTCAACGGCATTCAAACTTAATACAGCTTGCAGATTTCCTAGTACAGTGAGGGTGCTTAACGCATCGATTCCTGACAGGATAATTTCCTGGGCAGATGGAATTTGGGATGGGAGGAACACTAGTCTAACTAGGGTACCATTCAAGAATGATTTAGATGATGTTCTTAATATTACCTTTGAAACTGAAGGAACTAGAACACAGACCATGGTAAATTGTGTTTTAATTACTCCTTACCCCACTAAACTTCAGGATTTTATTACGTTAAGATTGTCACTGGCTTTACTTGGTGGTGGCCCCAGTTCTGACTACAGTAGGTCAGTCAGCATGTGGAGTCATCATAGACAGCCTAAATCTATACAGCTTAGAGGAGCACAAAATAAATATATCTTACTCTTTATTAATTCAGTAGTGATTATCCAATCATCTCTCCTTTTTCGAGACTCACAAAACAGTTGCCTATTTTCTGACACTTATAATATCAATCTGTTTCTAAAAGAATTGTGTACATTTTTATATTTATTACTATAATTTTATTGTTACTACATCTTTTATTATTACTGTAATTAGAATAAAGAGAACTTTATTCTTTAAAATGAGAACTGTGTCTCATAAATATTTGTATTCATTGTGCCCCTCCCCCACCACCCATCTCACCAAAAAATTTAAAAAATAAAAATAAGGCAACAACCCAGAGGGCAGCCCAGTGCCAGGGCTCTAGGCTTCCAATAAGTTTTTGTTGAATTAAATAGATCATTTCCCATTTATAAGCATGACACCATTCTTATACGCCAGCTTTACTTTATTGTATCTATACACCAATTTTAATGACGTCAAATTCTCTTTCCAATTCACTTTCAGCTCTTCTTCTCCTCAAGGTAGTTTCTTATCTCCCTAGAAGGGGTATTGCGTGGTCCCGTGCAAGGTATGACTTGGGAGCAAACCCTGCGTTCGGAAACATTGCGATATGATATACTAATGAGGAAGTCAGGCGCTAAGCCCTAAGGGTTTCTATTGCCACGCATTAGCCCACCACTGAGAAGGGAGAACGGGGAAAGGCGACTGACCCGGTACGTTGGACCCTGTCCGCTTTGGCCCCGGCCACTTTGATCTCAAGCGTCTGCCTAATCAAGTTCATCTACTGCCGCGATTGCCCTGATTCAAAGAACATTAAATGGTTTGATTATCGGACGGTCATTTCCCTCTTCCCTCCAGCCCTGATCTAATTTCTAAACGCCAGTCTCTCGCCTCCCTCTCTAAACTTCCCATCAAAAGAGAATTAGCTCTTCTTCCTTCTTACCCTCGTTTGATGTGCAAATTTCCTTCTCTTTGCACATTTTTCTCGAAGTGGCGGGGGGAGAGGGGGAGGAGGGCAACTGAACGACCTTAAACCAGGGATTTAACTCAGATCTGCAAACCGCGACTCTGAAGGGTTAATGAGCAACTTGCACCCGCCACCTGGCCCTCTCAGAGGCGTCTTGCTAGAGCCATTGAATTACAGATCGGTTTGTATTTAATACTGAATATGACTTGTGCGCACAGTCAGCGAGTATTAGCGTAAGGGAGAGGTGCAAAAAGTGCTTTTGCAGAGCGTATCACCCCTCGGCTCTGAAAAGTATTTCAGATCTGGATAATTCAACCCCTACTGCCAGTCAAGGGCACCCAAGTTCCCAGAGTTCCTCCTGCCGCCTGCATTTATTAAAGTCGTCTGCTATAATGCTCGCTGCTAGCCGTCACCCCGAAGGTGAGCCGGGCCAGCCGAACGACCGAGCAAGGGAGGAGCGGGGTGAAGAGTGTCAAAGGCCCCCCTTCATGTACACAAACACACCCCCTCCCAGCCCCTCCCAGCGCTTTGAAATCCCATCCCGGCTTTGTTGTCTCCCTCCCAAGGGGCCGGAATGCTCCGGGCCCGCGGTATAAAGGCAGCGGCGGTAGCGGTGGCGGTACAGAGCTCTGTGCTCCCTGCAGTCAGGACTCTGGGACCGCAGGGGGCTCCCAGACCCTGACTGTGCAACCGCACCGGCACGGTTTCGTGGGGACCCAGGCTTGCAAAGTGACGGTCATTTTCTCTTTCTTTCTCCCTCTTGAGTCCTTCTGAGATGATGGCTCTGGGCGCAGCAGGAGCTGCCCGGGTCTTGGTCGCGCTGGTAGCGGCGGCTCTTGGCGGCCACCCTCTGCTGGGAGTGAGTGCCACCTTGAACTCAGTTCTCAATTCCAACGCGATCAAGAACCTGCCCCCACCGCTGGGCGGCGCTGCGGGGCACCCAGGCTCTGCAGTCAGCGCCGCGCCAGGAATTCTGTACCCGGGCGGGAATAAGTACCAGACCATTGACAACTACCAGGTGAGAGGGGTCGGGCAGTCCGAGGATGCTCTGACCTTGAAAGGGTCCTATTTGGAGAGGAGGGAGTAGAACGTGCTGAGTGTGTGCGGTTCAGGGAGCATTTGGCAACCCTGCAATTGGGAGCAGTGGGCGGTAGCAGGTTTTGGAGAGGTAGACAGATAGGGACTGTGATCAGCGCCCGGGTCCAAGAGGGCGGGTACCTGGACGTCTGGATGCCTCACCCTCTCCCCGAACCTTTCCCACAGCCGTACCCGTGCGCAGAGGATGAGGAGTGCGGCACTGATGAGTACTGCGCTAGTCCCACCCGCGGAGGGGACGCGGGCGTGCAAATCTGTCTCGCCTGCAGGAAGCGCCGAAAACGCTGCATGCGTCACGCTATGTGCTGCCCCGGGAATTACTGCAAAAATGGTGAGTCCTGAAAGCTCCCTTCACACTAAAACTGTCCAGCCTTTGAGCGTCTACGAATAGGGGGGGAAAAACTCCGCCCTGAGAACTCTGCGGCGCCACCTGCAAATGGGTCTTCAGCATGCAGGATTCCGCTGAAGTATCTTCATTGCAAGTGTTTAATCGGGAAGAAGAGAGAAGTTCGGAGGTCTCTGAGGTCCTTATCTTCCTCCGTGGCCCTCAATGATTCAATGCAACGGCTCACCTCGTAGTGGATCCTTCCATAAAAATTTGTCTGGGAGAACCTTGAGGTCAATTGAGAAGGGAGATGATGGGGAGGACGATGGGATCATACAGAGACCAAAGAAACCAGCTTTGGCGTTCTGCTACCCTTTTCATTTTTCTTACTGTGACTCTCACAGCTTTGCCAGATTGGCCTCTCCTGATTTTTGCTGAAACTGTTGTCAGCCAGAGGACAGTGATTTATCTGCATAGGCGATTTTTAAGAGAGATCTTGATACCCTCACAACCTGACCCCTCCATCCTTCCCCCTCCCTCTACCCTCTGCTGCCTTAATATAAGTACTCCTCCCCCCAACCACAGATCCACTAACTTTTAATTTTTCAAAAGGTGGATTTAGACAGCTAAAGAGGTCTCCAGAAATAAGCTAACAGGGTGACGACCCTCCTTAGGACCCAGCAGTACTCCAGGATGAACTAAGTAAATCTCTGTAATATGGAAATTACACAGTAAAGTAACTGGTGGGTGAGATTGCAATGTTCCAGGCAGCTGGAATTGCGTTTGCTTAACTTAGTCTGGCAGGACCCATATAGCACCAGGGGCAGAGAAGTTATTTTTAAGAACATTTTTAAAAAGCGACTGATTTTCTTTTTCTTACCCCAAGGGTAATATTAAAATGGGCAGAAATCTCACTTGCCCCTACCACAGTTGGTGGGAAAGTATTTTAAATGGCTATACTACGGATATTACATATGACTGACTGTATATAGTATACACATTTGTGCTTCTGTCCATCTAGAGAGTTTTGCATTAACAGTAAAGAGGTTTAAAATTATGTCACTGCAATGAAGTATCTCAAGTTGGTGCTGGCATGACAGACTGCCACTGTCATAGCTGTCAGCAGTAATGCATTACAATCCTGAAGTTAATCACTATTTCCTGCTTCTTTAGGAATATGTGTGTCTTCTGATCAAAATAATTTCCGAGGGGAAATTGAGGAAACCATTACTGAAAGCTTTGGTAATGATCATAGCACTTTGGATGGGTATTCCAGAAGAACAACATTGTCTTCAAAAATGTATCACAGCAAAGGTAAGGATGTCAAGACTCATTCTTAGCACATCAAAAATGTCTTTTGAATTATTTTAGTGAAATGATGCAGGTTTAACAGTAACTATGTACTTTTTCCCTGCTGTCTTCTTCATAGGACAAGAAGGTTCTGTGTGTCTCCGGTCATCAGACTGTGCCACAGGATTGTGTTGTGCTAGACACTTCTGGTCCAAGATCTGTAAACCTGTCCTCAAAGAAGGTCAAGTGTGTACCAAGCATAGAAGAAAAGGCTCTCATGGGCTAGAAATATTCCAGCGTTGTTACTGCGGAGAAGGTCTGTCTTGCCGGATACAGAAAGATCACCATCAAGCCAGTAATTCTTCTAGGCTTCACACTTGTCAGAGACACTAAACCAGCTATCCAAACGCAGTGGACTCCTTTTATATAATAGATGCTATGAAAACCTTTTATGACCTTCATCAACTCAATCCTGAGGATATACAAGTTCTGTGATTTCAGTTAAGCATTCCAATAACACCTTCCAAAAACCTGGAGTGTAAGAGCTTTGTTTCTTTATGGAACTCCCTTGTGATTGCAGTAAATTACTGTATTGTAAATTCTCAGTGTGGCACTTACCTGTAAATGCAACAAAACTTTTAATTATTTTTCTAAAGGTGCTGCACTGCCTATTATTCCTCTTGTTATGTAAATTTTTGTACACATTGATTGTTATCTTGACTGACAAATATTCTATATTGAATTGAAGTAAATCATTTCAGCTTATAGTTCTTAAAAGCATAACCCTTTACCCCTTTTAATTCTGGAGTCTAGAATGCAAGGATCTCTTGGAATGACAAATGATAGGTATCTAAAATTTACATGAAAATACTAGCTTATTTTCTGAAATGTACTATCTTAATGCTTAAATTATATTTCTCTTTAGGCTGTGATAGTTTTTGAAATAAAATTTAACATTTAATATCATGAAATGTTATAAGTAGACATGCATTTTGGGATTGTGATCTTAGACGTTTGTGTGTGTGTACGTATGTGTGTGTTCTACAGGAACAGACGTGTGACATGGTTAAAGATGATCAGAGAAAAGACAGTGTCTAAATATAAGACAATATTGATCAGTTCTAGAAAAACTTTAAAGAAAGACGTATTCTGCATTGATAAACTCAAATGGTCATGGCAGAATGAGAGTGAATCTTACATTACTACTTTCAAAAATAGTCCAATAAATTAATAATACCTACCTAAATGGTCAATATTTTTTGGACAAGGAAGAAAATCATCCACAAAAATAACACTCCAAAGTACTTGGTGATTGGCGGGAACAGGAAGTGTGCCCATAAATACAGTTAACAAATACCTGCAGATTTTGTACCCAACAAAATAATTTGCAGTATCTTAATTACTACTACATGCAAAGCAGACTTATTCTAATTATTTTGGTTTTAAAATAATTATTCATTGAAAATCACAAATCCTTCCTCATTCCACTCTTTTTTCTCTTGCTCGGTGAGTTTAATATTTCAAATTTTGTTTAACCTGAAATCTATTGATTGGAATGAGGATAGGGATACAATATTTTAAAGAAAACCCACAGGAATGAAATCTAAATTTTCTTTGCATTTTTACTTGCCAGATTTCATATTATTTATACTGAGGAAAAGGGAAAGCAAACTTCCCAATTTACACTTTTTTTGCAGTATTCTAAAGTCTGCACCCAAACCACAAAATGCTGCATTTTGGGCCTGCAAAGGATAGTAGTGACTGATCAATCAATCATGCAAATATTTCCTTAAATAATGCAGATGTACTAGACTGTTTGTTGTCTTTGTGTTCGTGGAAGTCGTTCAGTTTCAAGGGGCTCAACCAATGGGACACAAGCTTTGGGTGGTTCTTCACTGAAAGAGGAACTGGCAGGATGTCTGCTGTTACATTCCTTTTGTCTGGAATTCTCAGCTTCCTCACCCAGGAGAAACTTTCTTTTTCTACATTAGCTTGTTTGCTGAAGTGCCAGAAAGGCCAATTCTAAGGACTGCCATGTCCAATAAAGCACAATAAAGGAAAGGAAACAGGAAACTTTTTCTTCAAAAAGAAGAAAGAGAGCATTCTGCTTAAATGGGGAAAGAAGCAAACTTTTAAAGGGCTCTGGTTATTGGATCCTTTCCTTTCTACAGGAACGGACCTCAGTACATTGACCCTAGTGATAGCCTTTCTTGCTTCTCATCTCCAGATGAGAGATGTGTGGAAGAATACAAAACAAACCAAAGATGGACGCCTCTTCTTCCTATCCAGCTGAGAAATTAGGAAGGGATTTCCATTAAAAAGAATTCTTAAAGGTGAAAAATACCAAGAAAATTGTAGATTTTTATTAGCTAGTAATAGAGACTAGAAGATGGAAATCAGATAAAATACAAATTCAAAAGAGGATTATTTAAGGAATCTAGAACAATTTGGGTAATGATTGTTTAAAATGTCTGTTGTTGTTGCTGTGTGACTTTTAAAAAATGTATTTTAATGGAAAATACATGCACCTGGGAAAATTTCACAAGGTATTTTATCTAATGTCAGTATACTCTACACACTGTCCTGCACGTTGCTTTTTTACTCTATGTGTCTTGTAGATCATTTTATATAATACATAGAGAGGTGACTCATTCTTTTTAAAGGTTACATTAAGTTTGTAGTATGTTGGAATGGCAATACTATAATCATTTTAACCAGTGACGTTTAAGTTGTTTCGAGAGTTTTTGATCTAACAAGTG